GGGCCAGATTCTTTCGATTTTGAAGTTTAGTTCCTAATTTCCTATAGATCTTTATTATCAGTCCATCGTCGAAATGAATAACTACCTACCAAAAATATATAATGCTAAACAAAAATAATTATGATTAATTTTTTATTTAATAAAATACATAAATTGATATATATTTATTTAATATTATGAAATTATTTTAAAATTAATTGTTAGTAAGCATTGTCTGTAAACTCTACGCATAGTATTATTTTAGAATCAAAAATCATTTCAAAAAAAACCATAATTGGTGTACATCCGGATCCAACACCTGAGTATACACCCTCCACATAAAAAAAAAAAATGGACTGGGTGTTGGATCATTTTTTTTTTTATGCAAAATGTGCACACCCGGGTGTTGGATCCAGGTGTGCACACATCATTTTCCTTTCAAAAAAACTTCATAACCATGTCATTAGGAATTTGCATGTGTAAATGTACATTTAGAATTTGTTTAACCCAACTCTAAGTTTTACATATAAAGGTTTACTTTTTTTTTTTTTGAATAAATTTGTAAGGGGATAAATTCAAACTGTTACTCATAAAAAAAAAATGCACTTTACGAGTGAGTTGAAGTTACTAGACCGAAAGCTCAAGTGCACGTATAGAAATAACAATTATGATAAAAAGTAAAAAATTAGAATATAACATTTAAAAATGTCGTAATTTTTTATAAAATTATTTAAAATTTTCTAATAGTTTTTTTATATTTTATTTTTTAAAAATTATTTTAATTTTTTTATTATCAATACTTATATTTTAATTATCAAAAAAACTTGGTTTTCATCCATACAAAACAAAGGTATTATTTTTTAGTTTCAAATTCTAAAAATAACTTTTAAGAAATAAGAAACTTTTCAGAAAATTGGGTTTGCTTCATTTTTTATTTTATTTTTTTGTCCAACAAATTTAATTTTTGTGATAAGGAAGATCCTTGTATGAATTAAGCCAAACAAATACTTATTATTTCTTTTAAATCTTCCAAACTCATCACGATAATAAAGGGTTTTTGTCTTAAAGGAGACTTGAAAAATAGATTTGCTAATGAAATTCAACATTTTCAAGAAAACAATGTAGGTAAATCATTTGCCCCAATTCATATGTTTTATTACCCAATCTAAAATAATGGTTTTGAGCTATAAATACAATATTTTTTTAGCTTGTGAGTCATTTATTAATTTTTTAAATTGACCGCCACTCCTGAGACCTTTTTAATTATTATATTTCTTAAGACAGTAGTTACTTTCTCAAGCGCCATGGAACATAACAGTTTAAATATAGTTAAGGACCGAACACTGAACTAATTAAATAGTTAAAAAAATATTATAATTATAATATCATGTAATATTATAAATTTATAATATTATTATATAATTTATTTTTTTATTTAAATATATATCATGATATTATATATATTTATTTATTAAATACAATATTATATATATTTAATGATCCATAATAATTTTAAATTTATCATCTGACATTATATTGTAACTACTGTATTAAACAAAAAAAGTAATAAATAGTCAAATAGTCTATATATTAAGCATGCAATGTGCCTTGCTGCAAAGTCTCCATTTTATTAAAAAAATAATTAGTGTGTCAGATTAATCTCTACTTTTCTTCTGTAAATTTTTTTTTTTTAATTCTGCTGATAATTAAGTTTCTCTTATTTTAAATGGCGTAATTGATGATTTCCATTTAATAATCTGCGGATCTTGGGAGTTACTATTATGATCATCCCCAGACCATTAAAAAAACAGTTTTTTTATTGTATAAATTATAAAAAAAATACATATTAGTTTTGATTATAAAAAATAATTAGAGTTTTAATCTTAAATTATGTTATTTTATTTAATTAAAATTCAATTTAAAATTTAAAAAGTGTTACATTAAATGTTGATATATTAAAATACATGATGAGTTTTTAAATTTAAATATCAACATTTATTAAAATGAGATTTTAATTTTCAAATATAGATTGA